ATTTTAGGTCAAGTGATGACTATAAATGTGTAGCAAGTGAGTGACTGGAAGTCATGTGCAACTCTGATGTGGGTCATTTGCACGTTATATTTGTATAAGTCTAGGGCATAAACAAAAAGCTTCACCTTTATATAAGCACATAAAACTGTAAGACTTGTACAGTAGACATTGAAAACATTAAACATAGACTGTCCAAGTAATTGTATAATATACATGTAATTAGTTTTTATTTTACATATATTATTTACAGATCTTGACACCCATTAGCCCACTTTGGCCAACTAATTTAACCTCTGACATAATACTGTGATAATTATATATGCAAAGTAGATTGGAATATGTTTGTCTATAGGGCCAAGTGGTATCATTTATTTCCTTTTTAGATTTTTTTAGACTTTGTTTTAATAGTTAAATAAATTTTTAGTACACAAAAAGCAAATCTAATTCAATAAAATGGTGAACATATACAGTTGTTTTTAATAAAGAGTAGATTTAAGGCTCTTTTTCACATATTTTACTTTATTTTGATGACAAACTCACTTTTTATCTTTTTATAGGTTTCATTTTAATAATTGAATTCAGTTATACTAATCTAACCATTCCTCACACACACCCCACTTATTTTTAGAACTGTTTTTAAATATAATACAATTCAGTGATGGTATTGAGAGATATGTTCTATTATGCAAACAGGTGCTTAAAGTTAATTTGATATACTACTTTGAAGGGCTTTCATGAAGACCTTTTATTTTCTTTGTTGACATGAGAAACGTTTTTCTCAACTGCAAATGTTGGTAGAGTAAACTCAGGGTTTAAGGTGAAATGTATTGTCTCCCTAGGAGAGATTCATTCATTCATTCATTTTCTCGTCAGCTTAGTCCCTTTATTAATCCGGGGTCGCCACAGCGAAATTAACCGCCAACTTATTCAGCAAGTTTTTACACAGCAAATGCCCTTCCAGCCGCAACCCATCTCTGGGAAACATTCACACAAACACACACTCATACACTACGGGCAATTTAGCCAATTCACCTGTACCGCATGTCTTTGGACTGTGGGGGAAACCGGAGCACCTGGAGGAAACCCACGCGAACGCAGGGAGAACATGTAAACTCCACACAGAAACGCCAACTGAGCCGTGGCTCAAACCAGCGACCCAGAGACCTTCTTGCTGTGAGGCGACAGCACTACCTACTGCGCCACTGCCTCGTCCCCGTAGGAGATATTTGTTTAAAAAAAAGTTCTGCTGTACATAGACACACACAAGACAGCAAAACAACATACACATTAAAAATCACAATCCTACATGGTAATTTACTCCCAGAATTTCACAACATGTTACTGCGATTTTTCAGTATTTTTACATTAGTGTAACTTTACAAGATTTAACTGTAAATTTTATGTATTCAGATTTTTTTTTTTTTTTTTTTGTGAAAATAAGAAATGCCTCATGATTACAGCAAATTATTGTAATAATGGCTCTATCTTATGCACCTTATTTATAGGAGTTCAAACACTAATAATATTTTATTCAAAGTAGAAATTGATACACATTAACTTTTATGCTAGTACAGGCACTTTTTAGATATTTAGAAATGTTTGCAAAAATGTTATTTTGAAGTACCTCACAGTAATTTACTGTGAATTTACACAAAGTGCCTTACTGTGAAGGTAATGCAATTATCATCCAGTAATTTACTGTAAATTTAAGGTAAGATATTTTATGGTGTAAAATACATTCTAATATAATAACACTTCTATTAAAACAATAATTACAAAATAGAATGAATACCCGCTGCCCTTTGTTTATGTTGAGCATTCATCATCCACAAATTCCATTTAATTATTTATCTATTCATTTTTATTTGTATATTTATGTTTTAATTATTCTTTTATTTTCCAGAATCATTCATTCCATTCGCGTTTTCGGCATTGAGGAAATCATACAGCCCTAAATGTGGTATCTAAGACGGTTTCAAAATGTGTTACCCAGTGGAAAGCAACTGCATTCATGTACCTTCATAATGTTTGACTTACCTAAAAAGAAAAAGAGGTCAGGATGGAAAGTACAAGGGTGAATATCCCACCCGAATCATTTATGATCTGAGCGATTCTCTCTTACTCAATAATCTGACATTTCTGCAGGAGCTTCACATCCTTCCTCTTTTCTGCTCCGATGAAGATCTCCGGCCACAGGAAGCATCTACTTTGCCTAAACTGTGATCCCCACATTAAAAATAAATATATATATATAATATATTATATATATATTTATATAATATATATATAATATATATATAATATATTATTTATATATATATATATAATATATAAAATATATATAAAATATATTATATATTTTGGTAACACTTTAGAATAATGGTCCTTTAGTTAAGGTTACTCTGTAAAACTCGATAAGTTAATTCAACTCAAACTGTAAGCATAAGTCATGCACACATATATTATTTGTGTTGATATCATCAAACATTTAGAGTATTTGTAAATTAAACATTTTAAGTTAAGTTGTCAATAATAATAATAATAATAATAATAACAACAACAATTCGTTACATTTATAGCTTTTTTTCTAGACACTCAAAGCGCAATACACATTTTTGGGGGGAGTCTCCACATTCAACAGCAGTGTGCAGCATCCACCTGGATGATGCGACGGCAGCCATATTGTACCAAACCGTATACCACACCCCAGCTGATTGGTGGACAGGAGAAAAAAAGTGATGAAGCTAATTATGATATGGGGATGGTTAATCTGGCCAGGATGCTGGGGTTAAACTCCTACTGTTTTTCGAAGGACATCCTGAGACATCAAATCGGTATGAGTTCAGTTAATAGAACAAATTCTATTAGATAGAACAAAAAAAAGTTAAAATGTTTTGATATTGCTTCTAGCAGGGGCCACGCTTAGGGGGGGTAGGAAGATTCTAAGGGCCCACGTCCTTTTGGGGCCCTCATAGTTATTATTAGGGGCTCAATCAGACCGGCATCAAAAACACACCCGAAACCCGCACCACTCCCCCCAGACTTCACTTTATCCTTGCACCCCCTTTTTTTACTTTCGTCCGTGACTCCCCACCACCCACTCTTTACTTTCGTCTGCGACAACCTCCCACCCCCCTCTTCACTTTTGTTAACACTGTAAAACCGAAAAAGTGAAAGTAACTCAAACTGTTTGAGGAAACCGATTGCAACAAACCATTTCAGTTCAAAATCTAATCCTAATAATACTGTGAACATAATCCAAAAATTCTTCAAGAATGTTATCATAGGGCTCATACTGGCCAGTGGCACCCCTTGCTTATTAATTATTTATTTCATAAAATTAATTATTTCATAACTACTTAGGTTTAAGTTTAGCTTGACATAACATAAGCATTTCATGAGTTACTATAACTCTTTTTCATTAAGTTAAAATAATTTATTTAGTCATTTTCACAGTTGGGTTTTACAGTGTAGGTAATGTATTTACTAACATTAACTAAGTATAAATAATCTTCATCAACTAATACATTTTTAAAATCCAAAGTTGTGCTTATTAACATATGGTAATGCGCCATGAGGTAACATGAACTAATATGAACATTATTTAGCTTAAATAGCATTATCTAACATTGACGAAGATGAATAAATACAGTAATAAATGTATTACTAATTGTTCATGTTAATAAATACTTTAACTGACATTTAAGCATTATATTAAAAAGGGTTACCCATTTTCATCTATATATTGTTTAAAGCAGGGATTCTCAACTGCTAAGCCGTGGCAGGTGGGCTGCGAGATTAAAATGTAACTCTCAGTAATATACTATCACTTTTAGACTTTTAGATTTCATTATTAATATGCTATGCTGTCAACAGTCAACTTTATCTAAAGAAATGAGTGTAGTTAACTCAAAATTTACAGAAAGTTCATTCAACTCATTTTCCCAGTGATGGGTTGCAACTGAAAGAGCATCTGCTGCGTAAAAACATGCTGGATAAGTTTGCGGTTCATTGCTCTGTGGCAATTCCAGATTAATAAAGGGACTAAGCCGAAAAGAAAATGAAGGGATGAATAATTCTAGTTTTTAACAGTTGTGTTGAACTGTGAGTGTTGAAGGAATGAGTTTATTAAATACCTCATTACTTCAACTCAAGTGGATTAAGTTCACAGTACTCATTAGGATTAGTTTTTGAACTGAAATGGTTTGTTGAAATCGGTTTTCTCAAATGGTTTGAGTTACCTTAACTTATTGGGTTTTACAGTGTAGATTGAAATTATCAAAGTAATGCACTTTCTAAAGTTCTCTGATTGATTTCTTCAAACTTGGAGCAAAAACAGCTTCTTAAACGCGTCTGCAAATAATATGTGAATGAACTACTATCTGCCGTTTCAACATATTTAGGGTGTTTTATTCTATTTTACATTTGTCTGTATATTTTTAATAGTAGATATTCAATAGTAGACATTCAAACAGTCCAGTTTGAAGCAGAAGCCTTTTTTTTTTGCAATCTCCCAGTTGACCTGTGGTTCTCTTTGAATTTGAGAATAAATAATGGTTTAAATGAGCATTTCATACAAACATATTAGAGAAAATGTCAGACAGGTAGGCCTTTAAAAATTGATCGGAGAAAGAAGTGGACCCGGAGGTGAAAAAGATTGAGAACCCCAGGTTTAAAGAATAATGGAGTAGTGCATGAAAAACTACAAACCATAAAGAACAGAAAATAAAATCTGCATTATTTCCTCACTGACTGATGTTCTAACATTCCATCCATTCATTCAGTGCAGGATTGCACCATGAAACATCCGGAACAAAACCACTGAGTGAGCATAAATGCAGAGGGGTGTTTCTCCAGAAACTCTACATGAAAAAATCATAAAAAATGGCAAATGTCGTAAAGCACAAAATACCTATTTCCTCATTTTTAACATATAAAAGAGGGTCAGCGTGAGTGAGATTTCAGTGAGCTTCTCTACCTCTGCATTGACTGAAAACTCCAGAACATCCACGGAAACGCAACATGCAGCTCAACCAGAAGATGATGATGAGACTTGCTGCCATTGCTGTCATTATGTCAGTGATGATCATGAAGACGAGTGAGTATCTGCACTATTTTATTCCAAAAAATGATCTATGTGTTGTCTGAGACATCTAATCAAACTCATCTCTTCGTTAGATGGACAAAACCGGTTTGTTCAATGCTGCACAAGCGTCTCCACTAAGGAAATCACGTTGCCTATAACCGGATTCAAATATCAGAAGAGAAATCCTCCATGCGTCAAAGCAGTCATGTAAGCATTTAGATAAAGAACATCTCTTTTGACTGATTAAAGTATACAATATATCTAAATATGTTTATTCTTCGCCAGTTTCTTCACAAAAGAGGGTGAACAATGCATTCACTGGAACCAGAGCTGGGTTCGGGAGAAGATCCAGGAGCTCATAATCTCGTAAGACTGAATAGTAGAGTTTGGCAGAAGTATTAAGTGTCTCGACCTAAAGATTGTGTGTAATAATGCTTATGTGTTGTGCTTTATTCAGAATGGAGAAAATGAACAGCACTGTTTCTACACCGCTGAAGATGAACAGCACTCTGTCTACACTTCTGAGGATCAACAGCACTATTTCCACAGCTCTGCAGATGAACAGCACTCTCTCTACTCCTCTCTCCACCTCCTCTTCTTAATAATAAAAACACTAAAGATATTTAAACTGATCAAAATGGGTTCTGCTGAAATAAGTCAGCTTGTTTTAAAAATGCGGTGAATGCTTCATGCTATTTATTGTAACTTATTGTATTGAAAATTGTATTTATTTGGTATTCTAACAATTTGACTAAAAGCTATGTTGTACTGTACTGTATGTACTTGAACTGTATGCTTGTCATCCATAAGTTATGTTAAAATGATGAACCTGTACAAAGACGAATCGTGTTTAAATAAAGTAGTCAGTAAATCTTAAAGCAGTGTTTGTCATTTCATATTAATCGCTGTATAATAATGCTTCATAACATGACAGTTTAATAGTTATTGGTATAGTATTACTGTAAATAATGCGATTTTTATTTATTTATTTATTTATTTATTTATTTTGCATTACAGATGTATAATTATAACTTTGGAAGAACATTAAGCTAAACAGGTTTTGGTTATATGAAATAAATAAATGAATGAATGAATGAATGAATGAATGAATGAATGAATGAATGAATGAATGAATGAATGAATAAACGAATAAATAAATAAATAAATAAACAGTGTTGGAGTGACGCGACTAGCTTGACTACATTTCTCAGTAGCATGGCGGTAGCGTCACTACTTTTTAAATCAAATAGCTTTTCAGGATTGAAGCTATTATGTTAAGCAATCTACATTTACCGATCGCAGATTATATGGAGCTGTGAAGCCAGTGTTAAACCACACTAAACTAAACTAAACTAAACTAAACTAAACTAAACTAAACTAAACTGAACTTCAACTCTGAAATCTGGAATTTACTAGAACTATGTTAAGCTGCTTTGACACAATCTACATGGTGAAAGATGCTATATAAAAAAAACATGAAGTGAATTTTTCACATGTGTTGTTTTTTTTCTAGGTGGCAGCACTCTCTAATATTAGTTAGTCTCATGAAGTGACTTGATACATTACATTTAAATAGTCATCTTTTTTTAAATTCTGATTTTGGAAAGCAGCTAAGGTGTTTAAACCAGATGTGTCTGACAGTGGACCCTTATTGGTACAATATTCATTTTGAGAAGCATTTTTTTAGACTGGACATTTGGTTAAATCAAGACAATCTCATTCAATAGGTTACATTTTTCAAGTACATTTTTATACCAACTTTAACATAACGGTTGGGTATGTTTATTTGTGATTTGTGTCGTATATTAGACTGTATCTAATAATACATTACATGGGTGAAAAAAAAGGTTTCTTTTTCATGCCAACAATTATTAGAATATTATATGAATATATTTGATATATTTCCTACTCTAAAATCAATTTGCTTTTCTAACTTTATTCATTCAATTTCTTTTCGACTTAGTCCCTTTATTAATCAGGGGTCGCCACAGCGGAATAAACCGCCAACTTATCCAGCATTTGTTTTACGCAACAGATGCCCTTGCAGCTGCAACCCATCTCTGGGAAACATCCATACACACTCATTCACACTCATTCACTCCAAACAATTTAGTCTACCCAATTAACCTGTACCACATGTCTTTGGACTGTGGGGGAAACCGGAGCACCCACGCAAACGCAGAGAAAAGATGTAAACTTCTCACAGAAACGCCAACTCACCCAGCCGAGGCTCGAACCAGCGACCTTCTTGCTGTGACTGCGCAGCTGTGTCGCCTTTTCTAACTTAATTTGGGAAGCTTTAAAGTCAGTTTATCTCAACCAAATATTGCCATATCCTAACAATGCAATGCAAAACTTAATTATTCAAAGACATAAAAAGATTTCTGTTTCGCAATATTTATGTTAAATAAATAATATAATTAGCACTTAATGAAGCACAATCATACCCAGTGACAAAAAGCACCAGATTTAAATGCATGGTTGTTGGATAATCATCAGCAATCATTTATATTCAATTTATTTATTTATTTATTTATTTATATTTATTTATATTTATTGTTGTCCAAAGCTTTGTAGTGTGATTTCAAATTTACAGTTTATTCGAACAGCTTTTAAAAGCTACAATGCAGTGGAAATATTTGATTTTAAAACCTTAAATGACAATAAAATCTAGTTTTTTAACCAATAAATGACTAAAAGTCACTGCTAGAAAGATTCATAGCTTTTATTTTCATCATAGAGTTTTTCAACTTAATCCGTTTGTTTAAATTCATCCCCAAATCAATTGTTTACAACCCCTTTCATTTGATGTCATCTGGTGACCAAACAACTTGCAATATCCATGATTCATTGTCCTCAATGATGTCAGGCTTTTCACATGACCAAAGTACATCCTCAAACTTTCTCCGAAACATCGCTGCATCACTGCATTTTTCTTTTTATCTAGTTGAGCAAATGATTGCACCATCAAATATCCGGAATAAAATCACAGAGTAAGCAAAACGGAGGGAGGGTGTTTCTCCAGAAACAATCATGAAGAAGTGTGCAATTCCTGTGGAGAGCCTGACCTTTAGTTCCTTTTCCTGATGATACATAAACAGAGCCGATGTGATTGAGATGTCAGTGAGCATCTCTACATCTTTGCATTGATTGAATCAATAAACACAAAATGCCGCACAACCAGAAGATGATGATGAGACTTGCTGCCATAGCTGTCATTTTGTCAGTGATGATCATGGAGACGAGTGAGTATCTGCAATATTTTACTTCGAAATTCATCTGTGTGCTTTCTGACACATCTACTCAATTTCCTCTATCCATTAGATGGGCAAAACAGGTTTGTTCAATGCTGCACAAGCGTCTCCACGCAGAAAATCATATTGCCTATAACAGGATTCAAATTACAGATCAGAAATCCTCCTTGCGTCAAAGCAGTCATGTAAGCATTTTTTATTTTTTTTTGTATGAGGAACATCTGTTTTTTTTTTATCTTTATGACTCAATTGTTCTTACCAAATCTCTTTAACTTTCTTGGGTAACAGTTTTTTCACAACTGAGGGTCCGAGATGCTGCCACTGGAAGGAGGGCTGGGTGAAGGAAAAAATCCAGGAGCTCAAAAGATTTCAAGTGTAAGTCACTGATGAACGGGTTTCCTATCATGGGATTTTAAAAAGTCTATTCCTGGAAAGTTTATAGTTTTTTTGTTGTCCAAGTCAGGGAATATCAGGGAATTAGTATTTTTTAAATAGTTCTGTTTCATATTGTTAAGGTAATTCTATTTTTCAGCTCTATTTAAGTTATTTCTTGCTAATCAACTGGCCGACACTTTAATTAAATGCAGTCAACGGATTAATAATTAAAGCAAACATTGTACATTGTGCAAAAATTTTCAGGAGCTTCGGCTTCAAAAGGACCACTTCAAACTGTGTGTTAAACAGTATAGGCAGCTGTAGAATAAATGTAACATTTGTTAAATTACTATCATGCTATCTAATATGGGAGAGGGAACACAACCAAAGCAAACAATAATTACATCAGGAGTTTTTTTTTTTCGTCCCAAAAATCTAACTATATCAATTATTATACTCATCTTGATTGTTAAAGTCAAGCAAAATAATATTAAATCTAAAATCTTTTTAATAGTATACAAAGCACAACAGCAGCCTGTTCCCATTCCTTATAGGGCCAGGCAGAATCTGCAGACATTTTATTTATTTTTTTGCTGTCTGCAGAGAGTTTTGTAAAACAAAAAAATCTGTGGATTTATGTGAAATGATTTTTGGAAGTATCGTAAACTTAAAATAAATGAAAAAATATTAGCTTTTAAACTTTTATTTAATGTTAACAATGTAAATCCAAATAGATTCACTTAATGTGTAAACAAAGCAAGTCTCTTACTGTATATAATGTACACTAAAAGATTACTTTAGAAAGTGTATTGCAAATGATTATTATGTTCATAAATCATATGAACGTTTTTATATTAGTTAGTAATATTACTGAAATCAATTTAAAAACGGAATAAATATAAATGTAAGCACATTTTCACAATTAAATAAATAGATTTAATGATAGGCAAAAAATCTTGGGAAATCTGCAGATTTCTGTGGATGCAGATTTTTTGTGGCCCTCCTTATAGCTTATGGGTAGGTAATGAAAATTCAGCTTTTAATCAGGCAAATTTAGTGAGAAGTCAGGGAGAGTGGGAACATTGAAATGTGACCCTGAACCACAAGACAGACATAATCTAAGTGTCAAATTTTCAAAACTGAGATTAAAACATATCTGAAAGCTGAATAACTAAGTTTTATAGGAACAGTTTTTTGCAGAGAACTAACTATTTGAATATCCCCAAACTGAGGGTTCAAAAATCTAAACATATACAAAGTCACCTTTAAAATTGTCTAAATGAATTGCTTAGAATGATTTTTACCAAACGATCTCAATGAAATATGATCTTTCTTTTCTAATATATATTTTTTTTACATAAAGGAAAAACAGACCTATACAATGTATTGTTGGCAATTGCCAAAAAATATACAAGGTATAAACGGTTTTGTGGTACAGGGTGCTGTACACTGATGCAAAAGTATTACTGACATGCAAATAACAACAGAAAAAGAAAATGAATTTTTTTTTCAACATTTATGCCTATTTCTCTCTTTTTTTTAGATGGGAAGAGAAGATGAACAGCACTGACTCCATACCTCTATCAACAACCACTCTTTAAAACACTTTACCTATGCTTATAGCTTATAGTTGGCAAAATATTTAAGTTATTTTAAGTATAGCTAAGTTTTATTGCAATGTAATTAATTTATATTTATTTATCATCCATTCACTGGGCATCTACTTTATGATTTTGTGCATGATTTTGTTGTTGTTTTAAATATTTAAAATGAGCTAAAACAACTCACTTTTTAAGTTCAATCCACTTAAATTTGTAAAGTTAACTTAAGCGATTTTTTGTTAGGACAACATGGATGAATTGAAAGACATATTGTGCTTTATTAAAGAAGAAAACCAAAAGAATTTTAAAATCAGGAAACTTTTTCTTCTAATTCCAAAGCTATCTTACGGCAATTTGTAACTTTTTGATTTAGTGGCTAATTCGTATGAATTCCTACAATCTAATTCATACTATTTAGTACGATTTGCTCATCCCCCAATGATGGTTGGGGTTAGGGGTGGGGTTGGGTGCCACGCCTCCTTTTTAAAATCTTACATTTCCGTACGACTGAACTCGTACGTATTTGTTAGAATTAGCCATTAAACTGACAAAACATAAAATACTTATGTTTCCTCGTGAGATCAGGCTGTCTAATTCATATTAGACACCTTAGAACTGAACCTTATAAGTGATGCCCAAACTAGGGCTCAAGGGCCAAAGTTGGCCCATGGTAACCTTTGATTTGACCCGCATCTCATCCGAGAAGAAAGGAAGAATAATGGAGATGTTTTAATGTTTTATTGTTAAAAGCTAACGGAAATGAAATGTTTCATTTAAATGACATTAATTAATTTTCTCTAAATGTCACGAGACAACGACTTTAGTGAGCAAGTCAAAGTCACATTCTGCTCGACTAGTGTATTCAGTATTGAACTCCACTGTGTTATAAATGTGATTGTTGATGTTTTTATTGTATTAAAATATAAATTAAAAACATTATACTGCATTAGTTAATAAGATTTAATATTTTCTGTTTATTTTGAAATATTATTAAATAAATTGGAAAATTACCCTTGGCAACTTTAATTTAATATAGCTTGGTTTAGCCCAGAGCTCTCAATCATATTGGTTTTGGCCATTCATACAAAAAAGTTTGGTCACCCTTGTTCTAAATAATTCATTTCTGACATTGAAATATTAAAAAAGCCACTGCATTAATACCATTATGAAATTAAGCTCTCGTTGATTTTCAGCTTCCTCAATTTGATTGGCTTTTGTAGTCATTTAAAAAAATAAAAAAAATAAAAACATGCAGCATGAACACAGTCTCCAACTGTAATGTCATCATGTTAACATGGAATCACTAAGGTCATTACCAGCAATTGTTAAATTGCTTCAGGGACATAAGCAACAGTATTGAAAGGGAAGACAAGGACATTTTATGACCCTAAGTGATAAAATAAACATTTAAGGTACACGTGATTGTCTGGGATATTTTACTTCATTTTAAACCAGTGTTTTTTCTCAATGGCTAAATGAAAATGCTTTTGTTGCACATCAGGTCACTGTTAAGAACCATAATACTAATCTTAAAGGGATTGTTCACACAAAACTGAAATCATGTCAGGATTTTCTCACCCCATACCTATTCCAAACTTGTTTGGTTTTGTTTCTTCTTAAACACAAAAGAAGATTTTTAAGAAAACAGAAAACCTGTAACCATTGACTTAATTATAAATATTTTTTTCTTACAATGGAAGTCAATGGTTACAAGTTTTCAGTTTTCTTAAAAGATCTTTAGTGTTCAGCATAGTAAAGAAACTCATAAAGCAGAGATGGCCAAAGTAGGGCCTGTGGGCCAAAGTTGGACCATTGTAACCTTTGATTTGGCCCACCATGCTATTTGAGAGGAGAGTTAGTATGGTGGAGAGGATTGGGGCAAATTTCTTTGACGTTACCTTTTTCTGTTTGTTTGTTTGTTTTATTGCTGAGCTACAAAAAAGCAAACCGAAATTAAATGTTTCAATTAAATGTAAATAAATCTGATTTTCATTCATTCATTCATTCATTCATTCATTCATACATTTTCAGAATTTCCGGCTTAGTCCCTTTATTAATCAGGGGCAATTAATAAAGTCCCTTTATTAATCCACAGCGCAATGAACTGCCAACTTATCCAGCATATGTTTTACACAGCGGATGCCCTGCCAGCTGCAACCCATCACTGAGAAACACCCAAATTTGATTTTTTAAAATGTAAATACTGGCTCTCAACGGATAAAGGTATATGCAGAAGACAACAGCAAGCAAATCAAGGCAAAAATCAGTGTAATTCTGTTAATTAGATTTTGCTGTAATAAGTTCATTATACTATTTAAAAATGCTGTATTATTCAATATAAAGCAATGTTTAGTGTCTAGTCTTCAAGAATTGAAGCCACTTAAGGGTGAAAGAGTGTACATTTATATTTTTGGGTGAACTATACCTTTAAGAATGACCTTTGTCAAAGAGCTTAGAATCACTATTCTATGCTCTTTGCCTTTGTGTAAAGAAGGCTACATACAGTATGCAAATGTTGTTTGAAATAAGTTTTATTTATATAATCCACAGTAACAGCTAGCACGCACCTGTAAATTAACTTGGTTGTGTAACCAACAGTATGTGCTTAAAATGGTTATAAATTAAAGGAAAAAAGTCTCTGTAAGCAGTTTTAGGAGGGCGACATGCATGCTACTGTTATCAGATTTTATCCTATTCTGAATAATAAATAGCTCATATGAGCTTTGAATTTTTGATTTATTATTATTATTAGTTATATTTTAGTAATCTTTTCTGAAGTAAGGAGGCAGTTTGCTGCTATGATTTGGTATTTATTTTTATATAAATAGCAATATAGTTCATATAAAAGACGTCAATCTCGTCACGTGGTTACATTCACGTGCACGAGCGGCGCTTAGCAAACTTATTTGAACTTGAAGCTGTTTCGAGAGGAGGCACATTACCTTAAGCCTTCATTTGCTGTGATTTTGCCTAATCAAACGAACAACGCAGTATTTTGACAAATTATCCACAAACAGTGGAAAATGGGGTCATTTCTTTCGATCCCAGTAACGCAAAAGCCTGAAATATATGAGCTTCCGAGTCAGGTGCAAAGAGACGGTTAGTGACATCGTTATATGATTAACATTAACCGTTGATACAGTTCAGAGGTGTGGAGTGTTTGTTATATTTAACTGTTTAATGTTGTAATGTAAACATTTGCTTTGTTTATGTTTTCCTATGTTTTTTCAGCAATGTGTTAATTTTTCAATTTGTAAATAAATCAAAAGTAAAATAAAATATATTCAACGCAACGTTTGTTAATATATTTAACTGTTTGTTTACAGTTAACGTTAACGTTAGGTGTGTCAGTCAGTCTAGGGAGTATGACACATTATTTACGTTAATGTTGACGGTTTATGTGATGTTGAAGTTGTTTATCTTTGTGTCACAGATGATGAGATATTCCAAGAATTCAATGAGAACATTTGTAAAACCATGCGTCGCCAGAATTTGCGCTCCAGACAGGAACTGAACCTCTTGAATGGTAAGTCACATTTTCTAAAACATGTAGGCTACAGTAGGCCTGGAAGTTTGTCTACAGCTTTCTAAAAGCAACTCTTTTAACGTTTTGAAAATAAGGCGCAATATTGCTTAGTTTTTTCAGTAAATATCTATAATATTCATTATCAGCGTTAATAGGCACTGGCATAATCTTCAGGTGCTGATGACTATTTTTTCTTTCTCTCAAAAAACGTTTTTTTTTTTGTTTTTTTTTTAGCATATAGACGTAACTGGAGTTCAGTGGTTGAAAAACTGATGAAAAAATACCCCAAGTGGTCTTCTGAAGACATCTTGAACCTTAGATATCGATATGAGATTGTGGCCAAACGTTATGGCTATCTTCTTCACTTCTGTAATTTGTAAGTATACACTTGCATTGAACACAGGTAAACTCAGACACAGATTATTAAACACAGAATTATTAAACCCCCTGAATTATCAGTCTCACTGTTTATTTATTTATTTTTTTCCCAATTTCTGTTTAATGGAGAGAAGATTTTTTAACACATTTCTAAACATAGTAGTTTTAATAACTCATCTCTAATAACTGATTTATTTTATCTTTGTCATGATAACAGTAAATAATATTTTACTAGATATTTTTCACGACACTTCTATACCGCTTAAAGTGACATTTAAAGGCTCAACTAGGTTAACTATTAGGGTAATTAGGCAAGTTATTCTATAACGATGATTTGTTCTCGTAAAAAAGTGTTGTTGATCGGAAAAAAATATAGCTTAGGGGCTAATAATTTTGACCTTAAAATGTTTTTATTTTATTTTATTATTTTTTTTTATTACTGCTTTTATTCTAGCCGAAATAAAACTTTCTCCAGAAGAACAAATATTATCAGACATATTATGAAAAGTTCCTTGCTCTGTTAAGCAGCATTTGGGAAATATTTTAAAAAGTGAAACTAAATTCAAAGGGGGCTAATAATTCTGACTTTAACTGTATGTATGCATGTATGTATGTATGTACAGGGCTCAAAATAAACCTTTTCGCATGTAAAGTGTAAATGTAAAATGTTAGTGAGTTACATTTTACATATAGCTGCCGCTTGTACAGTTGACAGCATCCTGACAAATAAAGAGAACAGAATCTTGCTTTAAGTGTTTAGATGTGGCAAACACTGTTACTTGCAGACTCCGTCCTACAGGCTTTACAGTGAATGCTATAGTCATGTTCATGTCGAACTTTAACCCAATGAAAGTGTTTTATGCACTCTTGGAAAAGTGTAAATGGTGGATTAACATTTCCCAAATGATTGCTAATCAGGTTTTTAAAACAAAATCTTCAGCACTCTTTTGACTAAGGCATTGACTAAGTGATTGACAGCTGATATAAACCAATATATTCGCATTCAGTTCTACAGCAGTGGCCAATCAGAAGAGCTTGAAGGCAGGGCATGGATTGCAGGCTTTGTTTACTGCTGCAAGTTGATATGACAACTGTTTCGGCCAGGTTTCAGGTGTAAAGATGCATTTGTCTTCTAAATCCACACATGCGGTGAACATTTTGCTGTAAAAACTGGTCGCACAGCAACAATTTTTTGCACTCGCACAAATGCTCCCAAATATATTTTGAGGTCGCATAGATAAAGTATCTGATGTATGTTTCAGGATTTGAATTGTAACCGCAACTATTTCCAGCCCAGGGTCATTAGAAATAAGAGACTACATTTTTGCAAAAATAAAATACACTGCTCTGGGGATGTTTTGTTGCACTTTTCAGATGACAAATTCATTAGAGATTCTATTGCATTATTGCAATTTCGAAATCTATTATTTAAGGTAGTTTTGTTGTACAATTTAGATACACATCCTTTTTGTATGCATCCGTGAGAAGTCAAGCACCTAGCACCTACTGACCTCAAGCAGTTGATGGGAACTTGATCACCTCGATTACCTACAGTACTGACCCAAACCTTCTCTACAACCAACTAATAGTGTTTTTAAAAGCGAACATGAGAGAAAAGTGTTCTGAAACCACATAGTTTCACTTTGATTTTACATTGCTGTTATCTATTTTGTGGATCTGCTTCACCGGAAGCTCTCACAACCTGAACACTGCATCAGTAGTACATCTGCATCAGTAGAACACCATACTAAATGAAGCAAACATATTTCATTACAAATCATTGACACTGTTAAGATTTGTCCTACTTATTTAGTGTTGTGGAAAGAACTGCACAAAAACAATCCTTTATTTGTCAATAATATGTCTTTGTTAATATCACTAGTGTAAAAAGGAACAAAAGTTGTTGATTTCATACTGCCTCGTAGCATTCCTTTTGCCTAAAAACGGTATTTAAACCTATGTTTATGAATGTTTTTGCAGTTTCACAAAAATGTAGGGTAAAGCACATATTTACAACAAACCTGTGTTGACTATTTCAGCTATAGGTTGCATTAAATTCTAAACAAACAAAATAAAATAATTGTTTAATAATTTTAATCATGGTAAAGTGTTTAATTAATTAGGGTTTTGATTTTAGGCAGTTTAACCCAGGCCTAAGATAGACTACTGTTCTCAGGAAAAAAAAAAAGTTACTGTTCAACCAGCTTGTACATTGTCTAACACTCCTTATTTTAGCATTTGATGTGACTATTCTTTATTTTTTCTATTGCTATTTCTCAACCTTGACCTTATGGCACAGCAATGAGCTGCTTGACTCCATTTCTGATGAGTCTTCTCCTGAGCAGCGCAGAGAGATGTTTAGCAGTGTAGACACCCATCACTTCTACGCACTCAACTTCAAGGAATATCTTCAGGTTATAATTACAACAATACTTATGTTGTCTAGGGGTGTAATGATATTAAATTGGCCAAAAATCAAATAAAAATTGTTCCATAGTTTAAGTTCTGAGACTAAAATTCTGAGTGATAGACATAAGAGACAGGATTGATAAGGGACGCACAGTGACTAAGAAGATCCAAAACAAAATACAAAAACAAAATACAAAGTTTTAGCATTATTTAATTCTAACTTGCCATTTTAGTTTTATGTGAAGTTAAAAGTATAATTTTAGTGTTTAAGTGGTGTTTAATTCAATAAACAACAGTTAATAAAATTAACTGACTTGTACTAATGTTAATATGATTAAAACCATGGGTTCACTTTGCTAGTTTAAAATTAGCTCAGGAGCTCCACTAGATGGCGCCATTCACTTATACAGTGCTGTCAGCATTAATCTGCATGATTTTTAAGTATTTTGTCACCCTTTATTCTAACTTGATTTACAGTATAATTGCTGAGTCAGTTTATGTAGCAATTAGGTTGTAACGGTTTCCGCAGGGTCTTAAAAAGTCTTAATGTCTTAAATCCCAAAATCAAAATATTAAGCCTTAAAGTCTTAAATTTACTGAAATATTGTCTTGTAGGTCTTAAATCTTTTTTCAAACAAGTCTTAATTTTCCTTTGTTCATGTATTGTTGCCCAATCTTTCCACAACCCATTCAATCTCCAACAGTCCATCATAATAAAACTTTAAACTGTTTATTTAAAAAGATAATCTTTAACTGTATCATAATGGTTTAATTATCTTAAAATTACATTTGTTTTAAATTGCCGAGGACACCGACCTGGACATATTGTTGTGCATAGTTTATTATAACTTTTAAAACTTTTAAAACATTGGTTAATTTTTTTTATTTTAATAATGTTTGTTGGAAAAAAAAAGTGTATGAATACAAGTTAAGCTTGCTTGGTTTTATACAATATTTAAAATATTTTGCTAATAAATATCTATAATATCTATTTTCGAATAATTTATTATTGTATCATTACATGCATTAAATTATAATTTTTGATAGGGTGAACAAAAATCTTTTCCATCTGGGCCATTTGAAAAATTTCTTAGCGTTTAGCCCTTTATAAGTCTAACATTTCGTTCATAATGGTCATAAAAATGTCTTAAAGTCTTAAATTTATCTTGGTAGAAACTGCAGAAACCCTGTGTAATTTATTCAGAGAGTGAGTCTCATTGACAAATAGGCCTATCTTCACTTCTAAAATGTATGTTAAAGTGAAATCAAAAAGATGTTAATTTTAAATACATATTAAACATATGAATAATAATAGACTTTCTGCACTGGTAAAATTGCCGAAGTCAGTTTCTAATAATAAGTAGAAATATTTTAAAAATGCGTGTCTTAATAGTACTTAAAGGAGTAGTACCACAAATTGGCACACCATCCCTCCACCAGTCCATAAAACTTGTGATATGGATGCAAATCACACAAAAGTTTAGTTTTCATTCACTAAACTCCAGCAATACAACCCACAGGCCTCTTTTCTGTAATAATATTGAGATGATCATGCAGTCACTAAAGTGCTTAAAAAAACTGTCTTGTCCTCATATATTCCAGCAGCATGTGAATGCCTATTACAAGCTTGATACCAAAAATATAGTGCAAATAAGAAATAATGAAACTCATGAATAAAACACAAGCACACCGACTGAAAGTACTGGCACGTGTAAACGTCATATCAGAATACATATGCCATACGTTTCCCATGCTTTTTGAGTATTTATCTGACAGGATGATAGATTTAATTATTTATTTATATACTAAATATAAAAAAATTAAATTGCATATAAATTGTCATAAAATGGTGCCATTTGCTCACAGTCTATAGCCTTGTTATTGGTGTATAACATAGACTGTAAAAAAATATATGCACATAGTATCAGTTGTCACACATAGGTTTCTGAAGAGCATAAATTAAGCTACAAGTGGGCGTGGCCAACCGTCACCATTTTGTTTGCCACCGACCGTGAGTAACCAAAAAAGGACAAAGAGGTGGAGCGTGAGCAGAGCTACAGTGCCTGCAAGCATTCTGCTCAGATTGGGTTTTCTTTGGGGGAAATGCTTAATACTTCATTACCTGTAATTCACCTGTGTTCTGACTAAATGTGGTTGTATACTATATCAATAAAGTGTTTAGACTTTTAAAACACTACATTGAGCCACTAAGCATTGTTCTTATGATATTTTTCTACTGGAGGAAAACCATAATTACTTCCAAATACTAATATAGTTGGTGTTAGTAAATGTAAGGCTATTTATGAAAAGCAGGCATAACACTGCATGACAACGTTTCAGATGACTGTTCTAGCCTACAGCCAGTTTTAGGGAAAGTTACTTTTGAAAGTAATGCATTACAATATTGACTTACTCCTAAAAAAAAAGTAACTAGTTGTGTTACTTAAATACTTTTTTTTATGGTAGGGTTACGTTATTTTTCAGTTACTTTTGCGTTAATGGCTGAGGCATGATCTTTTTCAGAACTTGTTTTTTTTTTAAAATAATGTAGTTGTGCAATTAACAGTGCATTGTATAACCTACACCTACATTTAAAAACACATAAATATATTTTAGGACAATGTTAGCTGAGAACTTCTTGACCCCGGAACTATACCTTTTTTTAAAAGTAACTCAAATATTATTACTTAATATTTAAAAGTAATGCATTACTTTATTCGGTACTTATATTATTTTGTTACTTGCGTTACTTGTAATGTGTTACCCCCAACACTGCCTACAGCTAATCAATCTGTCAGATTGTGGAGTGCATTCAAGTTATGAAGAAAATGATAAATTATTGATTATATTAAATAAAACAAATACAATTATAGATATGGTATATAAGTATGAAATAATTTAACTCACCTTGGAAATGGAGGCCACCATATTGGTTTGTGAGCACAAATAAATGCACACAGCATGCCATATTATCCGATAACTGTAAGAAATAATTCCAAAAGGCAATTGACTGTATAAAGCCCTAACAAAAATATGTTGTCTATGCTGAGTTCAGCAGATAATCAGCTAGAATCAGCTGAGGTGAAGTCATGGCCACCAGCAAGGCCTAGCTGTCACTCAAGTGGCCACGCCCTTACTTAATATAAATGAAACGGATGAGTTATAAAAAATAAAAATAAAAATCCACCCTCTCACAGTTGTCATGAAGTGTAATATTAGTTATACACCAAAATCATTGTTTGTACCAGGCTGTAAACACTTTTTTTCTGCTGTAAAGTTGGCCATATTAACATTGGGGTCATTAGAAATGTGCTCCAATTTGCAGCCAGGCCTAGCGGAATTTCAATGAATTGCAGTTTCAGTTACTTCAGTATTAGCTTTACGAGGGAGAGCGGGATGTTCCCGCTTGGTGTATCATCACACCCCTAATGTTGTCTTGTTATAAACTACTAAGCACAGATCAGATGTAAAAATATTTTTCAAATGTTTTTTTTTTTTTAATCTTTATATCTCCTTTTCTTTTAGATAATGGATAAAATAGGCATTGAAACACCAGTACCTAGGCCTCCAGGAGTTGATGAAGACAGAGATGAGATTATGGTCTTAATTGATGATTTATTACAATGTCACATGAGTACCCAGATGGTCTATAAAGTATTCTAAATTTCAGGCTGATCCTTTCGGTAATGAAGCTCAGCTGCAGTTCTTTTAATCCTTAGTTTTGTTTACTCTCCCAACTGGGTTTAACTTTTAAGTAGCATACAAAGATTTGTTTTGTTTTTATTGTATTTAATTTTTTTCAGTATTGCTGTTTAAGACAAATCTGTACTGCATCTCAAACTAAATATATTAGAAAAAATATATAATTCTGTGAAAAAAACAAAATGGAGATTTATTATTAAAGATGAATAGTCAGAATATATTTAATGCATGATAAAAATAATCAGTGATTAATTCAGTCAATTATATGCTTTGTTCAAAGCCACATTTATCTGTAAAAGCTTCATGGGCTGTTGGTGGTATTTGTTTGAATCACACTATTCGGTCCAGCAGTGGTGAGGCGTAAAGATGCCTTGTTCTCCAGTTTAGCAATTTTAGACCTATACAAAAAAAGGTATAAAATCAGGTCAGGCCTCATAAATAGAAAATCAATAAATGTTTCAGTTGGTCACACTATTCACCAGTCAGTGATGATAAATGTTACCTAGAATGTTTATGGTACATTTGCCACACAATTTAGGTCGTTTGTTTTTAAAATGTCACACACTTTGGCTGCTTACCTCAGATGTGCGAGTGCAGCTCTCACCCACTGATCCTCAATGCTCGCACATATCTTCTTATTTTTCTGGGTGATAAAACTGAAGAGAAAGATAAAAATAAATGTTTTTGGAGACAGTAGTTTGTTTTATTTTCTTCTAAAAGTGGCTGAAAGTACGTTTTTTTTATTAAGGTCAACTGCCTTTTAAAGTGACATCAAAAGTCTGAAACCAGTAAGTTTAGGTCGGTTTGAATATATTCCTTGACACACACTAGTATTCGAAAATATATTTAAAAAGTATGTGTGTGCGTGCGTGCGTGTGTGTGTGTATAAAAATAGAATACAAGTATTTAAAATAGAATTAAGTTAAGTGATACAGTAGTACTTTTTTTTAAAACAATGAATAAATATTCATAGCTCCACTAATTGTATCACACTGTAAAAATGCTCAGTTTCACGCAATCTCTCCATGTTGTCCAAACACAAACCAATTAAGTGAATTTAATAGTTTTTACAAGTAGTTTACAACAGTTTTTAAATGGATTAAACATAAACAATTAAGTCCTCGCAAAAAAATAAGAATTGTCTCTTTAAACTACTTATTTAAAATGAGCAAAAACAAGCAGCGAACGTCTTTTATGTATTTAATGTTTTATATTTATATGTAATATTACAAAATACACTTCTATTTAAAAGTAAAGGGGAGCTATGATTTATTTATTTTATGTTTTTGAAAAAGTGTCTTTTGTTCACTAACCAATATAAAGCATTTTATATTTATATGTCATGTTAAATTGCTTTAATCATTCTTTTTTTTAGATTTCTATGCAAATTGTTACATTAACACAACACTTGAAAATTGAAACATGAACATTCATTTGACTTCTTCTGTATTTTGCCCATTTTATTTTAATGTCAGTAGTTAGCTCAGCTTCTATCTGCATGAAAATGATGCTCTACGCATGATTTCAGAATGATACACTAGAAAAATTCTTGCTTCCTTAAATTTTTTGTTGAATCAAATTAACTTTTTTCAGTCATCGCAACTTACAGTAATCAAAATGACAAAAAAATAATTATATATATATATATTATATATATATAATAAATTATATACTATAAAAATTTTAAACCTGGTTAGCTTATTAAAGTAAGTTAAAGCAACACACTCACATTTGTTGTCTTGACTAATTGTCATAATTTTAACTGAGAGCCTCTAATTTGTCCTTTTTAAAAATATATAATCTACAAATTATGGATATTTTTACAACTTTAATGTTTAAACAATAGTTGTTTTATTTTTTATTAAATAATGTCATCTATTTTTTATAGCATCACTTTACAGTGTACTCGGTGTTAATACCACGGGAACTTTTTTTTTTGCATCCGCTGTTCACCCTCATATTTAAATGCATGGTTAAATGTGCCTATTTTGGTACAAGTGTGGGTGAGTGGGTGAACCTTGATTCTTTCTTGCGGTCAGATAATGGTGACTCACATGATGGCATCTATACGGCACACCTCAAGGGAGCTCTGCTCAATGAAGCCTGCGATCACACCGAAGGGCAAAGGAGTCCGAGTGTATTTCACACAGCAGGCATAGTTCAGCGGCCCATCTGACATCAAACACAACATTTTTTTTAAAGTCATATACTGATAGATCCATAAACTTAGTATGTTACTCTACTACAGTATATGTTCAAATATTAACAGAAAGGTAACAGCAATCACAATCACAACATATTTATATCTATTAGAAACTTACATGCTTTTGGAGTATGAGGAAGTAGGCTTAGAAAAACGATGCTGATGAGAGTGATTGAAACCAGAGACATTATGGAGCGTGTTTCAGATACACAGAGATGCGTGTTGAGGCTGTGCAGGGTCTTATATATGTACTAGTGAGCGATAAGATCAGTTGCACACGTTCAATAGAATGTCAAATCAGATGCAGTTTTCAAAATGAGGACAGCAACCACGGGAAAAACAGAGGACAGGAAAGCCAATATTGACGATGTTACAAGACTCCAACCACAAATGTGGTGCAGAGTTATAAAAGACTTCTTTCTTAGTATCTCGAGCAAATACACACATCCCATATAAGATGTTACGCTAGTTTTAGTATTTATTTTTGTTTACATTTTGTGCCATGTCTGACTGATTGATGTTGTAATTGATGTAACTGAATAATGAAAAATAATTACTGAAAAAAAAAAAACTTGAAATTCTGTTTAATTCTGTTTTCCTGAGACCCCTTTTTCTTCTTCTTCTTTTGTTTTTCTGTGCTTTCCTACATCCTTTGGGTTAAAAAAAAAAAATTGTACAATTTAAAGTTTTTACATGTTTGTTTTTATTTTTTTTAATTTACAGCATGTCCACTGTAGTGGACCACAGGACACTTTTAGTTTGAAACGACCGCCACTCGGACAACAAAACTGTACAGGATATGGCTGTATAGGGATATTAATCCAATATTAATGTAACAAAAACAAAACAAAAGCCATTTTTTTTGTGTTGAAATTCCTGAAACAGCTTAGTCTAAAAGAGAGCTGAGTTAAAAAAAAAGAAGTGATGTCAATCCAAAACATACAGTATTTAACATAAAACCGATTTAAAACTGATTGTCATTCTCTAATTGTCTAATTGTCAGACTCTAAATAAGAGTCTCCCTCAACTATTTTATAAAGAATCCTCTGCTTCAGTTCTGCCCCCTACAGCATGCAGTCATTAATTACATTAAGATGGTCCTGGTGTCCACTATAGTGGACATTTAAAAAAGGATGATATTTTAAAACACAAACAAATTAACAGCTTTGAAAGCTAAATGTATTGTTCCTGACACTTTAATAAACAAATATGTATATGTAATAATAACAGTAAAAAAAGAAAAACATTTAAAAAGCTAAATTTTACATACCTCTCTCTTTCCCATAAAATGTGCTTTTTTTGTATGTCGGCCATTTTGGATACAGTGCAAGAAGTGATTCCTAGCGTGCCAGCCAATCAAATGACATATCACTAGAAAGCCCAGGATGTCCTCTGAACAGTACAACAGGACTTAACAGTGTAGCTCAAAGAAAATTCATGAAAACGCAATGTCTACTACAGAGGACACAAGTCAATGGGCAGGGGTCTCAGGAGGATATATCAACTTGGAAGACAACATTCATAGTTTTTGTTTTTTTCTTTTTATTCCTATTCTGAGGCTGTATTTTTAGGATGCCCTTCGAAAAAGAGTAGGGGTTTAACCCCGGCATCCTGGCCAAATTTCCCCACTGGCCTCTTTCCATCATGGCCTCCTTACCATCCCCATATAATATTTGGCTTCATCACTCTTTCTCCTCTCCATCAATCAGCTGGTGTGTGGTGTGCAGTCTGGTGCAATATGGCTGCCGTCATGTCATTTTTTGAGATCTTTGAGTATTTAGAAAAGCAATATATACATGTAAGGAATTATTATTATTATTATTAACTACATCTCCTAGAAAATAACTCTGTGTCTGTCTAGCACAGGACATGCTAAGAAATACTAGAAACAGGTTAGTAATGCTTTAATGCAAGTAGCTTGATAATTTAGGCTAGCAAAATACTAAAAGTATTAGCTTCATGTTAATTGTATCTATGCTATTCTAATTTCTTGCAAATTATCAATGGTTTTATTAGTAAAAGCATAGTAACCATAGTTTTTAGTACTAATGAATGCAATACCAAATACCATGGTTAAAACAACACCAAAAATCATGTTGATTTTGTGGGTTCTTTTATAGGTTTACCTACAATAACCATGTTTTTTTTAGTCCACTTGTAACAAAGGTTAATTTTGAATACAAGTTGGTTGTGTTCAAAATATTAGCAACTTGCTAGTTTATTCCAATGTAGAGGTAAGAATACTTACATGCTATAAAAATTTTCGCAACATGTAAATCCAACAACTCTACATTTTTTTCTAGCATCATGTTTCAATATGCTAGCAACACATCTTAGCCCTATGCTATGCAGCTAAAGCATGTTAGCATTTGTCATAACGTAAAAAAAATGTGTGCTACCAACATGATGTTAGCAGAATGTCAAAACATGGTAGTCATGTGCTAAAACATTTACAGTAAGCAGTATGTTAATTTATTTTAGTAGCATGTTAAATTGTGTCAGCTCTGTGTTTTTCTCAGTCAATTTAAATTTCTTAGATCAGAATTGAAATTTACTTAACAGCAAGTTCATTTCTAAAAACAAAAGTGTCTTGCTCAAAATCCTTAGTTCATCTCTCAAAACTAAATTTCTGTGTCAATGAACTTAGTCATGTTGTCAATATAACAGTACTAGGAAGGGGAGTTCTCATGTAAACTGGCTTTTTTATTTTATTTTTTTGCTGTTTGTAGTGTAATTGTCATTGTGACACAGAAGAAAATACAGCACTTCATAGCATGAAGAAACAAAACAACAAAAGTAGCAATGTGAACAAAGGAAAATCTTCTTTAAGATGCACAATACCAAAATTTTCTATACAATGCTAAAATTAAATATCACCGATACTAAATCGATACTACAGTGAGCCCTAAATTGAAGTGTGTGACCCCTATTGATAAAAACTCGCAACTACAGCTTTCATTTAAAAATACCAGTACTATAAACATGCGGAATTGCATTGTTTTGAGAGCCGGGGTATCGCGATACTTTTTTTTGTATCGGTATATCGTGCAACACTACCTGGGATAAATTTACCATGTAGACTGGTTTAGAAAAAAAGTCTTTTAGAAATGTATAGGAAAATGCATTATGACAAAATATTAGGAAAACTTGTGCAGCCATTTTGCATGTAAAGACTTATGCCATGAACAAAAGATAAACTTTTATGAGGGGGTTAGACTATTTTACAGAGAGCAAAATAATACATTTTGATCAACATGACAGGCAATTGATAATGTAGGAAACAGCAGACAATTGCACATAATCATTGCACAGATGTACAAAAGCATTTGCAACAAAAAGCAATGAGAAACTGCCTTTTTGATGTGCACAAGTGGCAATGATCTGAAGATTGAACAGGTAATTTTGAGAGTTTCAATTCAGATCTAAGAAATGGATCAAAGTGACTGAGAAAAACTGTAAAACGACAATATGATTCTTTCTTTCTTTCTTTTGTATGACTTTAGCATTAAAATCTGTGTGAATCATTCAGGCTAGGCTTTTAAGCCAAAGTTTGTTCAAAGTGCACCAGTACTATCTAGTTTGTCCTCTTTATGACTAACATCGAAACTCTTACGCCATCTCTTGTCATGTATTTTGAATAATTTGTTTAGCTTTTTGAGATTTATTGATTTTTATCTGATGCTGCTACGTCACTACATCATTTAGACCATACGGTGTCTTGAAGCATCTCGCACTACCAAATACGTTTACAGGGAAAGTTGTTTATTATGCAATGCGAGGATTAGCTACGCTTCTTCTTTACCATGACCCATTTAGTGGTGAGAACGGCAATTTTCCCCTCTGAGCAAAAGAACAAATTAACATGCACAGCTTCCGTGACCTAGAAAACGTCTCAATATAAAAATGTAACCATTTATGGGAAGAGTGAATGTAAATATCTTCTATTTAGTTGTTTTTCTATGTTTACCTTTGCATCTGCACACTATTAATTGTCAAACAGGTAATGTTTTTGTCATGGGAGGCTGTCTAAAGATGCATTTCTGTTTAAATCCTGCATACAATTGATAAAACCATGACACATGAATTGTATATATTTAGAAAACATCTCTGGCAAGGTGCAAGCTGTCTGTTGTGAGCATGTTCTATTTCTGTCGACTGATAAATCATTTATACTGTATTTCCAGGAGATTGCAACCAGGCTTAATATCTTAGCAACCCTGTGGCTGTCAAGATTTTTTTTATTTTTTTCATTATATCATGCATCATTTCCTAACTCCACTCTCAACAGCATGACAAACTTTCAGTATTTTTTCTTTGTTAATATTATGCTTAGTGAGATGTTTATATATGCATGTAAAAATGGTTGGATTGTTACATAAACAGGTTGAATAGAATAGAATAGAATAGAATAGAATAGAATAGAATAGAATAGAATAGAATAGAATAGAATAGAATAGAATAGAATAGAATAGAATAGAAGTCTCTATTGTCCACACTTGGGAATTTGTCTATGGCCTCACAAAATGTTCCTAAACATCACTAAACTTCACAAACACAAAGTGATGACAAAATTGATGTGTAGATAGGATTGGAAATGTAAAAAATATAGGTGAATGGTTGGATGGACAGGTAGATAGGACAAAGAAATAGGATGAGTAAATAGACAAAGGTAGATTCGTAGGTAGGCAAAGATAACCCTTTAATAAGTCACATAGGACAAAAGTGACCCTTTTTGTAATATGTATAGAACTTAATTTGGTCATTAATGGCAAATTTCTCAATACTATTATTCTGAACCCTCAAATTCCAGATTTTTATATAGTTTTAAATAAGGCTGGGTGATAAATCGTTTTTATCAATTTACTTCACTGTGTAGTTTACATCAAATTGTTTAAATATATATATATATATATATATATATATATATATATATATATATATATATATATATATATATATATATATTTTTTTTTTTTTTTTTTTACTGTAAGTAGTACTCCCTGCAGAGTTCAGTGTCTGTACTATTCCACTTAAATATCATATATTAAAATGTATACATTTAAATTGACTATAGGTTCAAGTTAGTTCAAGTCATGGCTGGGCCAGTTGGCATTTCTGTGTGGAGTTTGTATGTTCTCCCTGTGTTTGCGTGGGTTTCCATAGCTTCCCCCACAGTCCAAAGACATGCGCTATAGGAGACTTGAATGAACTAAATTGGCGTGTGTGTGTGTGTGTGTGTGTGTGTGTGTGTG